CATGGTAAGTTAATTTGTGATGAAGTTTTATTCTACCATTTTTGAAACTTTCATGTATATAAATAATATTAATGAGATTGTTTAATATAGTAAACCACAATACATAAAACGAAATCATGACTTTCTCCTGTCAGTTCGCAAATTGACTGTCACACATCTCACGACTGTTGAAAATGCCGTAGAAATACGAACTGTGGTTTTATTTATCATTTGTTTGTTTATTTGAAGTTAAGCACAAAGCTACACAATGGGCTATCTGTGCTCTGCCCACCACGGGTATCGAAACCCGGTTTCTAGCATTGTAAGTCCGCAGACATACCGCTGTGCCACTGGGGGGCACGAACTGTGGTGATATATAAGTATGAATTAGGTAACTACATATTTATTTGGTTTCTCAAAATAGTTTGAGAGCGTGGGTTTGTTCTTTAATACAGCTCTGTATTTCGGAGCAGGTCAGCCGTGTTCGCATCCCTGCAATACTCAAAATATTCTGTGCATTTTAAGCTGTGGGTGTGTTATAAGAGTGACAGTACATTCCTTCGCTTGGACGGTGGGTGCTGCTGACTGGCTTCATTTCCTCCGTTCAGTAATTCAAAATTAGGAACTGCGGCATGTAGCTTTAGTAGCTTTAACAAAAATAGAACACAAAACGTACAAGTGAAATATGGTTTGAAAATTTATGACCACTGTTTCAATGGCTTAGCGGTAAGTCTGAGGTCTGATAATGCTAAAGTTTCAGAAGAGGTAGCCCATTGTGTAGATTTTTGCTAAATAGCAAACAAACAAGACTTATCAATATATTAGTCTAATTTTTTTAAAGAAAATCTTTATTTCTGTGGTATCTTGAGTAAAACTTTACCTTTTTGTAAAGTTTCAGAAGAGGTAGCCCATTGTGTAGATTTGTGCTTAATAGCGAACAAACAAGACTTATCAATATATTAGTCTAATCTAAAAAAAAATCTTTATTTCTGTGGTATCTTGAGTAAAACTTTACCTTTTTGTTTAACTTGGTTTGCTGGAAATTCAAAGTATCGTTTCAGCTTCTGTAGTTTATCATTATCTATATATAACCATGAAATGTGGAATTTCACAACTGAAGCTGGCGGCCAGTTACCATTATTATTTTCTCATCACTGGTTCTTCAAATTGCAGTGCTCAGCAAATTAGCCTTTATGGATCACTTTTCCAACTCCTGATTGGTTCGGCTGCAGAGTGAAATAGCTAGTTAAGTAAGCTAAGTTTCTATCAAAATAGGTAACCTGAAAAACTGTCTTTCAGTCCCATCTTTAGAATAAAAAAAAGACTAGTTTCTCGTGTCCTCCAATTCACGGTAATATGTAGAGCATGACCAACTACAGACTTATTGAGAACAATGACAGGAAATATTACAAAGGTGTAAATTTTGGATTAGTGTTACTGACGGAAATCTGAAAGACTAAATATCGGTTTAATGAAGCGGTATTAATAACAGCCGAGATGTGAAGGATTATCGCAAGCCAAAATTCACACGTTTTCGTGCAGTTTTTTTGGTACCTTTTGTTAATTGAAATTCTCGTAAAAGTGAAACAATATGTGTAAATAGTCTATTATAGAAAGTACTATATCATAAGTTTTATAAACTAACAAAAGTTTTTAGTTTTATAAAACTAGAGGTTATTAAATTACCGGTCTGAATTTAATAATTACATTTAAAATAAATTAATCACGTCCGTAAAAAATAATGAATCTAGTGATGGTAGAATTAGAAACTGATATGATATGACTAATTTATTTCATTACCAAGAAGCGACATTTACAAAAGTTTGTTTCTTTTAGACCAATACCACATTGGGTTATCTGCTGTGTCTACTGCGGGGGAATCGAACCCCGGATTTTAGCGTTCTAAGTCCCCAAACTTACAGCTGTCTCACAAGGGAACGTTTGCAAATGAGAATAAAGTAGAGATTAACATAACGTTAAGATGATGATATATGTAGAAGGTCCAGAAATAGGAGTAACAAAGTGAAGCACGTGCTGACTATAACGCGTTGCTATTTGTAGCATTTTAAGTATATGCTGTAATTTTACGTACATTTGTGATGGTAACAAGTTAATATTTCGACGGGTTTAAATTATGGTAATTATAGTCATGCAATCTTCATATTCACTAAACAGGTTTTAACTTTTTCACTGCCAAGTGTATTTTTAGAAACGCACAGAAACATATGTTATATATGTCGTTTGTTACTTGTCATATCAACACAAAACCTTTATTTTTTTCGAGAACTGCCAGAAATATTTCACAGATTGTTAACATTCTCAGATTGTGAGTAGTATTAAGAAGAATGATTATTTGTACAAATTAATATGCAACATTTATAATTTTTAAAATTAATTATAAAATTATTGATTTCACTTCTAACCCATTCATCAAAACATTTACTCTTCGACGCTAAAATAAAAAAGGTTATATATTGTGCTCAATATACGTGCCCAGGGCGGTGTACTCGTTAAAGATTTCACTGTTCAAATATTACTGCTTATTTGTCTTTGTAGACTGGTACTTCATCGTTATTCTGCTCCTGAAGTTTTGCTGCTTTAATACTGACATCAATAACTTTAGAAGGGTCAGAGTAGTGGGTCACTTTCGTTGCTCTTAGCTCGTGTTCCTTAATGTCGGTAAGTGCTGCGCTATACACTGGGTTAGGTACATAAGATGGTGTCTGTTTATTTTTGACCACATTTACCCGAGAAAGCTTTGGAATAATAGCAGAGATTGATACAGGAGGATATACAACCCTGTAGGCTTTGGGCACTGGAACAGAAACAGATGAATCCTTAAGGACAACAATGGTTCGATTTTTAGGCACAGTGAGAGAAACTGTCGTAGGTTTCTGTCCTGGTTGTTGTTGGTTTGGAAGTAACTCTTTCTGGAAATTAGATACTAGTCGAGAAAATGGATATTTTGGTGAATACTGAAATTGGCGATAAATAGGCAGATGGTCGACTTTGTGAAGCTGGATCTTGATTGTGTCCGGGATCAGTTTGTCCTGAACACCGACAGGGTGCTCTTCTGCTTTAATCGTGACATCAGCAGGATTCTGATTAGCTGTGCCAGGTTCGTTGGTTTTGACCTTAGCACGGAATCCGTCGCTGTCAGCTACGTATTCGACTTGGCGATATACTCCTAAAGCATCTTTGTAACTGTAAGCTCCAATCTTAGAGCCATCAATGTTTCCAGTTTCTTTTCTTTCCTGACTGTTGCCGTTGTCATCGTTAATTTGATAACCAAACTCATAAGGTTGAACTTGTTCCTATTTTGCAAATGAATAAATAAAAAACAGAAGAGAATTAAAGAAAAAACTGTGAGAAAATGTCTACATTATCTATCAACTTTAGTTTTTAAGACACAAACATAAAATAAAAAACATTTAAGAATACTATACAATCTGCTTCTTTTCTTTATTTTGAGGGCAGAGATCGAATTAAGCGTTCCTTATTATTTTGTAAGATAAAACATGACCTTTATTTCCTCAGCATTATCTGTGTTAGCATTGGACATATGTTATCATTTTACAACTTTTTTCTTGTACTAAAATACTTATTTCTTCAATTTCTAAGAAGAAAATCAAGGCAATGTTTGTTAAGAAAATAATTATGATAAATATCACAAGTTACACTTGAATGGCTGCTGATATTAAGGTAAAAAAAAACAGTTAAAGTTCTAATTTGAATTAGTTATATATATACGTTCGACTTTGCTTTTGAGATTTCAAGTTGCTACCATCATTCAGTGCCTGAAGCATAACTTGTTAGTTAGCGAGAGGAAAAGTTTGTACAGATGAATTACAGAGCCGCGACCCCATAAGAGAACACTTGAAGCAGGGTCTGCTTTGCTCTGCTGCTATATTGAAGCATTTCCGTGATGTATTTCACAGAAATCTTTCCAAAAGCGTGGGAATAAATATTTATATCAAACATGTGTCACAAAAACTTGATATCGCCCTTAATTTCTAGAATGCCGATCAATGTTCTACACTAATTAAAAAAAAAAAACTAACATGAAAATAGCTTAATGAACTCATTAAAGTCACGAGCCCCTACCTCGTAGCCGAAAGACAGGGCGTCACCGTAGCTACCACGAATATCATACGCCATATCCATCAGGATCAACACTATCCAACACTGTAAACAGAACAACAACAAAGATGAGACTGAACACTTAACAACAATGAGCGGATTATATTCCTAATTGTTTTATTAACAATATTTTAATAACATGGTTTTTAAGACCCAGAAAAAACGCCACAACTTAAAACTTACCCTATCAATATTCAGAAAAGATAAATCATGGTTTCATTCTTACGGAACTTGTATATTCAAAAGTACCCAAAATAAGACGGATTAACCACAGGGTGAACAGAAAATCATGATCCTCGTTTAAATAGTCGACTATAAATTTATAACTTGAATCTTATCACTTGTTTAATTATTGTTAAGCGAAAGGCTTACATAATGGAATAGCTATGATGTGCACACCGCGAAGATCAAACTCCAAATTTTAGCGCTCAATGCCCTGACATCTGGGCGCGTTGACTGTCACAGTAAATAATTCTAATTACAGATACCTTATACTTATGTAAAAAACGTCACAATTCCTCTAAACATGTACGTGATGAATACCGAGATAACTTGAAACTTTTTTATGTTAGTGTTTCACATGAATTTGTACTTTATCTCTGTATCAGCTCGGCCATATATTATAAATATTTATAAAAAGTATAGACATATTTTTGCTAGTTTAACACTTTGTACAGCGATTCTAAAAGCTCTCTTCATTTTTAAAGATAATTCAAGGAAACTACGTTCAGCACCCAGTGGCACAGTGTCTGCGGACTTTCACCGCTAGAAACCGGGTTTCAATACCCGTGGTGGGCAGAGCACAGATAGCTCATTGTGTTACTTTGTGCTTAACTTAAAACAGAGCAAACTACGTTGATAGTTGTTTGTACTCAGTTGAAATGTTTGATCCTGATGTTATTCAGGTATCCAATAACAATAGAACGAAACTTGATGATGAGCTGCTTTAAGAAAATATTTGATTTAAAATTTTCTACGAATCTTTAAAACGTGTGATAATAAATGACCTAAAATATAATGCATTTGCTTTGTATTATAGCACTTTATCATTGTGCTATTTCGAATACAGTTTCTACATGAAAGGTACGCCTCTTTCTTGAAAATTACATTTTTTGGGCTCGATCGATGTATTTGACAGTGCCCGAGGCCTCACAGATTACTTTACTCTAATCCTGCTTAAAAGAGTTTCAATTTGAGGGTAGGATCGTAGAGATCCTGATGAGTAATAAAATTGAATCGGGTATACGCGTGCCTCACGCTTGGTATTGCTGGTGCACAAAAATATAGCCGATATAAGGGGGGGGGAAGGCTCATAGATTATTTACCCTAACCCTGTCTAAAAGAATTTCAAGTGCGGCGGCTATTGAGGATTCCCTGTTATTTAAATTTCGAACTGTGTGATTGAGGTTAGATGGCGCTACAAATAGTCTTATAAATTAAATGGTCCTAATTTTGCTAAACGAATCTATAAGAAAAAATGCCAAATACAACACAGATTAGTATGTCATTACAAGGCACCTCAACAATAGCATCTAATCCAACAAAGATTTATACATAACATATATGAGACGATTTCAGTAACAACCACAGCCTTCTATTGGCATTATATTTTGCAAATAATTTAATACGTATAATTTATTCTTTTATCGTTAAAAACTCTGGTCAAAAATTCATTTCTTCATCATGCTTAAAGAGATGGATATTAGATAATATTTAAACGCTGGAATGTTATTCTTAAATTCTTAATGGATTTTTACCGCTCACAAAGTGACATTATAACACACATTACATTTAATCTTAAAATTTGAACTCATGTTCTGATGAAAGTTTGAACCCACATACTCAAATTTTATTGGTTTATTTCTCTATTTTATTCGCTTCGTAAAACACACGAATCTTTCTAGGACTTAGAAGGAGACAACAAAAATTTAAGGCGTATTTCCAAGATAGAAAAATACCGCTTAATGATTCACGACTGACACTAATTATCCTACTTGGATTGATTTAGTTTTAGTTTTGTTTTTCTAGGACCAAAAGTTTATCAGAAATACTTCCTGGTTTTCTGCACATGACTAGCAAGTGCTCACATGACCGCAAACCTTAAAACCAGTGAACCAGCTTAAGATATGTATATATAGTGCCCTCACACGGAATTTGTATTAAATATTAATAACCATGACACTCAAACGTGAATAACAACTAGTGCAAGTCAGAAATAAAGAATTTCAGTCAACATTCTTCCCTCAAACACATATTCTACAAAAAAAAAATATAACTCAAGTTAATGACTTTGCTGATTAACACTTCTCTTACTCAATCTTGAATTTCTTTGTTAATTCTTTCTTTAAACATAATAATTAATTACACTGACTTCCCACATGGATTTTAAAAATATTATAGTATAATTTTGAATTTTATTAGTGAAATTCCACAACTCCGGAGAAGGCATTCAAATTTAGTAATAATAATTATAACATGCATTTGGTTTGTTTTGTTTGAATTTCACGCAAAGCTACACGAGGTCTATCTGCGCTAGCCGTGCCTAATTAAGCAGTGAAAAGGAAGTCATCACCACCCACCGCCAAATCTTGGGCTATTCTTTTACCAACGAATAGTGGGATTGACCATCACGTTATATCGCCCCCATGGCTGAAAGGGCGAACATGTTTTGTAGGATGGGGATTCGAACTCGCGACCCACATATTGTAACTCGAGCGCCCTAACCACCTGACCATGCCGGACCAGTAATATACGATCTATCATGAAAGGGATAGACATAGTTGCGGATACTTTTTGTGCCTACAACTTAAAAATATATATATAACATTTATCTATCCAAAAATCACGCTATATTTCAAAATGCAAACGAATGTGGTGAAAATATCATAAATACCCAGTAGTTAAGGAGAGTAACAATATTCAAGAAACTGATACGTTCTTTTATGACTCTTAATTAGGTGTTTCAAAAGTCAAAACGACGAAGTAGATATAAAAGTCTTAGATTCCCTGACGGATTCACCCTGTTAACATATTAATTCAAGTTGTGTATCCGCATGCTCCTTCACAATTTTGAACCTAGCAGACCAAACGTGGGCAGACGGATTCGGGGTGGCCCGGGGGTGTTCTTATCTTTACGGCATAGCCTCTAAAGCAAGGGAGGGAGGAGGTGAACTAAAATACGCCTGGAGGACCACCTAGTCTTAAAGTAAATTTTCATGTTCGCTGAACCAGAATCTGGCATCGAATTTTGTGTTCCTGGCCTTCCTTGCGACTTCGGAGGCGCTATGCTTGAAATTGTGTTCATACCCCTACGTGCTCAGGTACCACGGGCGAGTGTCCAAACAAGACTTGTTTTCGGAGACGGACCTCCATCCCCATTGTGGTAACTATAGAAGCAACTAGGTATAATGGGGAAGCTTAACCAGTACACTGGAGCCTCTATTTGCCTAGCTTACAGTTATTAGGGTTAAAGCGAAAGTGATGTAAAATTATAGTAAACGACAACAAATGCGTTTCAGTTTTTATTATTTTTGTACGATAAATAGAGAGGATCTTTATATAAAAAAGAGAGAGAGATAGTAGTGGATGTAAATAATATGACATTATTAGAATATACCTGAAAACGTTTGTCTTCAAATCTTACAAGAGGGGTGGCATGTAAGCCTACCGTATGTATCTTACTCTCTTAGTTGAAATACGTTTTTAGCAGCAGAATTATCTAAATTACAGCAAAAATAATATAACACTTTAAAACTGTTTATGCGAGTGTTAAGAATAGAAGCATATATGCATTTGAAATAATAAAAACATTTGGGCAAGTTTTGTGAGTATAAATGATATGATCAAGAATGATCAAATTAAAGTATATAACCATAAGGTAAGGTTAATTTTCAAGTTTAGGGATTTAAGATCAATCTCGTACCTATACCTTCTCAGGACTTTATCTTGAAAACAGTGATTACTCTTTATAATCAGACTTATGGGTTTACTTTGATGTTGTTACATAACTCTGAGATTAATGTAACAGTAATCTAACATTAATCTGACTACTTGTCATTGCCAGTTTTCTTCACCTGTCATCGCTAGTCTTCTTCTTTTTCTATTTAACTTCATCATTTTATATCTAGCAAGTAATTTATAAACTTCGAGTTTTTATAAACCTCAAAAGTGTTTTTTGAGTATTTGTTTTTAATCGATACAAGATCGATCATACTATGAAACAGTTCTATGTAACGATTGCGGTACACAACTTTCCAGTGGTGTTTGTTTATTTGTTTTGAATTTCACGCAAAGCTACACGAGGGCTATCTGCGCTAGCCGTCTCTAATTTAGCAGTGTAAGATTAGAGGGAAGGCAGCTAGTCATCGCCACCCACCGCCAACTCTTGGGCTACTCTTTTACCAACGAATAGTGGGATTGACCGTCACATTATAACGCCCCCACGGCTGAAAGGGCGAGCATGTTTGGTGGGACGGGGATTCGAACCCGCTACCCGCAGACCTATTACATTTGTTGTAAGATAATTTGTGACATGGACCTGACTATAAAGAATAATAACAATAAAATATTATAACAGCTCTTTAGTTATTCTAAAGACGAAAGACTTTCGAAACGTCGTCCTCTACACTTGTGTTTTTTCTACAACAGGCAGTTGCCGCCTGTTCCAGATTACTTAACAATAAAATACCAATTTAGAATTCTACCATAAAAAAATTAGAGCTTAACCTTCGAATATCTGTTGAGCGTTTAAGAAGATCTATCTCTGAACACGAGAGGGAGAGAAAATGTTAAATTAAACTAATTAAAGGATATTAGAGGATTTTATTTGAAAACAGAGAAAAATGTTATGTTTATTTATTACTCAAAACAACTTATAATATTTTATTTCTAAATTTCCTTGAATGGCGAGGTGTATTTGGTAACAATTTAAATATATCTTTTACTGTGAAGTGTTAAATTGAGTGTTAAAGTAAAAAGTTAAAAATGTCCTCCGGTGGGTCAGCAGTAAGTTTACGCACTCAATACTAACATCCGGGGCTTGATTCTTCACGGTGGACAAAGCGCGGGTAGTTCATTGTGTAGCTTTGCGCTAAAAAATAAACAAACTAAAAAAGATCTCAAAATCTAGGCATAATGTACAGTAATTTCATATAGCTAAAGAACGGGAACTTAACAAGTAATTGTAAGCTGTTTTAGCAAGAATAAAGTGACTGTAGATATCACAGATGGACCTGAGACTATCCCATTCATCCAGCGGGATTATAGCTACGTCTTAAATATCACACACGCACGCACAACAACACGTGTGTTATATTTCGAAAGATATTTTAATATTAATTAACAAGTCTTGCAAAATAAATAATTATTGCTAATTAATTTTTGAAACATGCGATGCAATACTGATTGAAATGACTAATGAAATGACTTCGGAATTGACTGTTTATAAACTACTGAATATTTTGTGTTTTTTTGCACTGGTTTTTGTGTTCAAATTTAAATAGTAACCAAAGTTTTTTTTTAGTTTCGATGTGTATATTTGTGTAACTATAGATTAGAAGGAAGGCGGCAAATCAGAAACACCTATCGCCAGCTCTTGGGCTACTCTTATCGAATAGGGAGGTTTTACGCGCCCATCTCAAAATGCAGCGCAAGAATTTTTTTTTTTGAATCAACTGGACGCTAACCATAAATCTCAGATCGCTAGTCCTGCGCTCTAATCACGAGATCACGCCCAGCAAATATAGAAAGATAATATTAAAAGCCCCCCAGTGGCACAGCAATATGTCTGAGGACTTACAACGCTAAAAACCGGGTTTCGATACCCATGGTGGGCAGAGTACAGATAGCCCATTTTGTAGCTTTGTGCTTAACTTCAAACAAATAAACAAACAAACAAACAAAGAAT